GGTTCAAATCCCGCAAAACGCCTAGAGTTTTTCACACTTGGGTCAACTCAAAATAATATGACGTGTTAGTGAGCCGGATGATACTTATTTATACTCAGTAGGTTTTTATAATAAAGGGGCAAAGCCTTGTCTTGTCATCAGCCAATCAGAAAAGGGTGCAAGTGTAGGCGTCAGAGCTAGTGATTAATCGATTACCTGCGGGCGAAGGCGCTTCGACAGCGGGGGGGGTGCAAGTGTATAAAACGCACAGAGGCCAGTTGTTTGAGTCAGCGCTGGACGCGCGGGCAGATAGAGGTTTTGGAGGATGAGAGAGCGGTTAATATGGTCAGCAATACCGATTTCAGGCTGTCACTGCCTCTCTCGTAAGCTACGCAATGCATGATGACCAAGTGGAGAAGACAGGAGAGTGTGCAGGTGGCTGGCGCGGCCGCAGCGGCCCCTAAGTGTATGGCCATGCCTGCGTCAGATCACATGAATTAGGATTGCGTCAGAAGCCGCCGTATGAAGGAATAATTGCGACCTGACTCTCAGTTCGCCAGTCGGACACTTCTCACAAACAAAACCTCGGGTGATCTCGCGATCCGGCTTGATCCCCTCTGGGAGCAAGCTTGAATTCTATGGCTTTTAAGTGCACCAGGGTAGTCAAAAGCACGCAAAATTGGTTCTAGTGTCGAGGATGCGTTGAGGTGTCGACCGTTTAGACAAAAAACCACAGGGGCCCCACTTTCCGATGCCGAGTGTATGCCTGCCGATGATAGGTTTTTTTTCACCAGTACGAAATAATGCTTCCATAACTGGTATTCTTGCTTTGAATAAGAGGACAGAATATAACGGAATGTAGTCAGTAGCGTATAGTAGAAACAAAGTGTGCAATCTGCGATTCTTGGTAATGCAAGTATTAACAAATTTCGCTTGAAAAACTGTATCTGCGGTGGACGGCTTTACGGCATAATTTCAAATCATTCTAGTATTTATCTTTTGTCTACGCTGTCGTAATGGCATACCTTCCGAGTATAATCCTGTGTTCTTCTATTTTCTTGACAATATAAAATTATTCGCCGAAAAAGCGTGCACTATATATGTATGCATAACAATGATCACCGAAATGGTGGCAGGAATTGATGAATACTGCCAAAATATTATGTTGGCTTTTGCGTCACAAACTACAGAATTGTCAGGTCACACATACACATACCCATACATATGTGCCTGCTGATATTCACGAGGTGAGGTCTTTATAAAGTCTTCGAAAGCTTGAGAGATTCATTGCCTTTCAACATGGAAAGAGAGAGGTTTAAATGCGCAACAGGCAGCTTAAGAGTTTGATGGATTCACTTACTCATGAAATATGTTCAATAATGTACTAAAAGTGGTTTTGCGGGAAGTCAGCACACGCGGCTTGACTCTAAACTATTATAGAAGCAGATTAAGTAAAAAAATCAGAGTTTGGTTGAGAAATTACTATATACTAGCATAAAAAAATTAATTTTCACAAACAATCTGCAAGCTCAGGTAATGGCAATATAAAAAATTCACTTCTCCAGTGTTAAATGTGAATGTTTAAGGCATGGAAATGGAAAAGAATGGCAAGTTAATCCAGAATAAGGCGGGAGTTTCCTTGGTAGCAACGAATGTATATATTTATATTTTCATGCCCACACCCACGCTTCCCGTAAGACAGAAACTTGGTTTTTTTATACATACGATATCACTATGCCACTCTAAACCTAACCCATACACTAACCCTTACCCTAACCCTAACTTTTACCCTAACCTTAACCCTTACCCTAATCCTTACCCTTACCCTAACAGAAATTATTTGATTAGGCATGCAAATATAAATAAGAACATTCGTTGCTACCAAGGAAACGTCTGCTCAGAATAAGTACAAAAACAAAAATTTTATAAATTAAATTGTTTCCAATAACATTTAAACTTGCATTAAACGTGTCAGAAGTGGATGTGGTCGCCTTAACTACAGTTATTTTCCCAATGTGGATACTTCGTAAAAAATTCCGTTTTTAATTCACGGAAAGATTATTGCGTGTTTTGTATCCATTTCTATTGACAACTGCAAAAACATTTTCTATGGTAATAATATCATGGATGTTGAGCGGAATAAAAATAGATTGAAAGCCACACTAGGATAGACCGGCTGTTTACTAAAAGATAGATTACGGTTGTACTTGTAATCAAATTCATATGACCTTGTGTATATTGAAAGACATTGCCGTTTTTCACATTTTTGTTGGAATGAGCAGCAAACTGTTTTCGAAATTCTGTTAAACACTTTACAAACTTCACTGTTTTGCTTTGTTTGTCCATAAATACCGATTTTGTTCAACCTATTTACGAAAAATTTGAAATAAGAAACATCTTAAAAGCATTTTTCGTTTTGTAAACAGATTTAATTAAAACGTTCCTGCTCTTCATGAATGTTCTTTTATAGTGCAACATGAACAAAAAAGAAGCCTTTTTCCGCAGCGTTCGATAGCGTAGTAAACTCCTTGTATGTCAACAAAACGCCGAGTTTTGCCCAGTTTCGCCTATATTGTCTATTAGTATACTAATCAGAACGGAATTCAGTCCTAGTGAACAGCATTTTGCGCCTCAACTCAACCAAAAGAACTAAATAAACTACCTCAAATTTGTGTTAAATTCCACAATTCCCAACTTTTTTTCAGATATGTAATCTACTGTATATACATTTATCATTTGTTGTTTTCCAGATTATAGTTTGGGAGGATATAATTATTAAACTGATCCTACTATGACTAAGCTCGCAGGTTTGGAGTAAGAACGAGATGCTGTAGCAGTCTGACCTCATCCAAACTTTGTTCTTATTCTCCGCCTGATGCGTTTCTGCGCGCCAACGCGAAAGTGTTTTCACCGCTATTCAGTTAGTGCAAGTTGGTAGGAAGCGGTCGTCGCGCCAGGGATGGGATGTGTCATTCACATCCAACAGGCCAATGAAAAAGCGCGAAATAAAAATCGATGGACTGAAGCACGCACACTGGCAATTAGCGTTTTGGTTGGCTGCGCTAGCAGGGTTGTCTTTCTAAGAAGTCAGATTTCTGAGCAGCCATAAATATTTTCGACTGCAAATCTAGGTGAATATATAAGCAAACGTGGCTAAATAGCATCCCGTCAACTGTGTAATAGGCACAGGTTTTCAACAGGTTACTGTTGTCACACAACCTGCAGATAAATCCAAAAACAGTATTACCGATCAGTATGCCAAATGTCAAAATACGTCCCGGCATTACCATAACTTGACCATTTAGATTGGCTTGAAACGCTAAAGGCGGATATATGATGCACGGACGGTTTATGCGCAGGGTAGGCGGTCCCTGGCTGCTAGCATTAAAAGTTCGTTAGATTCCTAAATATCAGGCTGCTACATCTGGTTAGCAGCTATTTTACTTGGCTAGAACACACAAACATTGAAAAAAAAATTGGTTTAATATACAAGCCATTACAGAGTACTCTCCCCGGTTATTTAAAAAAATAAGAATTCTGTGAACAGTCCACGTTGCCCTGTCTATTAAGCTAGAGGCGGTATCCGTTCATTTTGGAGTATACTTTCTTCGGAAATTAGGTTGGTTTGAGTCGATGCACATTTCTGGAACAATTATCTCCATTAAAACAATGCTTTAAGGAAACATCAACATTTGACATGAAATTTGACCTATTAGTGTTTATCCGTCTGGACGGCAACCTCCCTGAGGCTGACTCCCATATGACTTCCGTGCAGTTTGACTTCAGACGCCGCTCTCACAAGTGCAAACAGATGCTCGTCCATTACTGCAAACATACGACGACAATTAACCGTAATTACCTTCGTGAGTGTTGGTGGTCTGCTAAATGGCATGCGGGCTCTTACCTGCTGACGTTTCATCACGCGTGGTGGACTCGGGCGTGATGATTGCTCGGCCATCTGGCTC